AATTCACATATAAACCCAAAAAAGTGCATGGAGAGAAGGCCGCTGTGGTAGCTCAGTGGGTAGAGCATCGAACGCGTTATTCGATGGTCGTAGGTTCGACTCCTGCTCACGGCTTGTTATTTTTTCATCCACTTTTCTTTCTTCTTATTTACATTCCAATGGTTCTAATAACTTCCCCTGTACATTCCTTGGCATTACTGTCTGTTAGATCTCGTTATATTATATATACACACACATATATATATATATATATATATATATATATATATATATATATATATATATATATATATATAAAGGCACTTTAACATGGCAATCGCGTTGTTTCAATTATGTAGTCAGATACCGCAGAGCACAATCCCTGTGGCTATAACCAATTTTACTGCTGCCAAACGATAAAATCATTGCCACAATTGCCACATTTACTTCTAATCCTAATTTTTAATTGGAGCTACCAGGTATCTTTTCCGCTGATAAGAATATCGGCGACATCATGACGGTCGATGCATTTTGATTGTGCCGTGCCCACATAGACTTCTGAGAATTTTATTGCAGTGTTTTCATGTCTGTAAACTTTTGCTCTGCGGGGACGTTGAAGAAAACCCTGGTCCTGATGTCGCTAAGATGCTTCAAACGCTTATAGACGGACAGAAGGCTATACGAAACGACTTGGCTGACGTCATAAAAAGACTAGATGAAACTGATAAAAACATAGAGTCCCTGACGGACAGAATATCGCAAGTGGAAAAAGAAATTAAGGAAGTAACAAAGAAGACTAATGCTATGGCTAGCTCCAATGTAAACCTAGGGGAAATTCAAGAAACTATGAGAGCGCACCAAAAAAAGTTGGTGGAACTGGAAGACCGGAGTAGAAGATCTAATCTTGTAGTGTTTGGAATTAAAGAAACCAAAGACGAAACACCCGAGACGCTCAGGCAGAAAGTTATTAAGGAAATAATTGAAGACAAGCTTGGGGTTTGCTGTTCGTCTGTCGCGCGAATACATAGACTAGGCAAGGCGTCATCAAACCGTCCAGTCATCTTGTACTTTCAAAATTACTTGGAAAAACAAGAAGTCTTACGTAAATCAGGGAAGTTGAAAGGAAGTCGTATATTCCTTCAAAACAACTTCTCTGTTGAAACGCGAAGGAAACGAAAGAACTTGTGGCAAAGTGCTAAAACAGATAAAGAGAACGGAAAGAAGGTTTCCTCAGTGAACGACAGGCTGCGTATTGATAATTCATTCTATGTCTGGAGCGACGCCTCAAACTGACGTGTTTTGTTAAAGCAAATGGCTGATGTACAGGATGACAGATAGCTATGCCAGGTGACACAGCAACTGCGCATCCTCTCTCTGAATGCAAGAAGTATTGTAAATAAAATAGATGAACTAGAATTGCTGCTGCTTAGTTACAATGCACAACTTGTTGTAATCTCTGAAACGTGGCTTTCAGACAAAATAACTAGTGACGAAAGTGTACCACCAGGTTACAAGTTGTACAGACGAGATCGAGTTTCAAGAGGTGGTGGTGTTGCGGTTGTAGCGAAAGAAAATATAGCTGTTACTTTCATGGACCAGATTCCAAACCATGAAAGTTTATTTTTAAATGTAAAAATACTGGGTTTCACATTCCTGCTTTGCGCAGTTTATCGGCCACCTGATGCCGCTGATTCGTATCTTGAAGAATTGTATGATTTCCTGTTGCCGCATTGAAATCGTAATGTTATTATTACTGGTGATTTTAATCTGCCCGACATAGATTGGAAGCAATTTAGATCGGAAAAATATGCAACCTGCAATGTTGTATTAGATATACTTTTAGCAATGAACCTCGACCAAGTTGTACAAGAACCAACTCGAGAAAACGCGGTACTAGATCTTTTCTTTATTAGTCAAAAGTTTTCAAACGGAACACTTACCATAGAGCCCGGCATTTCAGACCATAGGCTACTGTTATTTTCCTGGAGTGCTCCACATGCTGCTAGTGCTAGAATTGCCTCATTAGCGTACATACGTGACTATGTACGTGCTGATGATGAAAGTATTATTGATTATATGGAAAGAAAATTAGTATACCATGACTTTGAAGATGTTCATTTTTTGTGGAAGAGGTTTAAGGAAGTTGTAAATCATTGTACGGAACACTTTGTACCCATGAAAAGAGTCAGAAAAGGGCGTCGCAACCCTTGGATCAGCCGCGAGATCATTCAGATCTAACGAAAATTAAAAGACTCTGTAAGCAGCATAAGACCGGAACACAACATTTCGAGAGCTTAAACATTCCTTAACCGCTAAGATTGCCCTAGCAAAGGGAAAGTATTTCAAGACCACACTCCCAGAGTACATTAAGAACGATCCACAGAAGTTCTGGCGTTTTCTTTCCAACCGTAAAGATTGCATAAAAGAAGTTAAACTTGATGGAGAACTAGTGACGGATGAGGCGGTAATAGCCAAGTGCTTTAACGAATATTTTCAGAGCGTATTTATTAACGATAGCGACACTACAGCGACATCTGTGTCCAATTCTTCTATCGGAGAT